TCTATGTCTCATACTGGCTTATCCGGTTCCATTCTGGCAGCTTCTGTTTACATTTATCCTAGCAAACATGTTCCAAGTACTTCCAGTGGAACGCAGAAGGTCTATGTCGCTCGTATTTGCTAGAAAAACGGCTGAAAACCTTAATAACACTTTAGTCTAGTGAATCAGCAAGAAATTATTTGTTTTAAAGTTTTTTGAACACTTTATTCCAGATGAGTGAGCCAATCAATCGTCCTAACTCGACGCTTACTCGCTTATACGAGACGCTTTTTGTGGGCTCATTTCTTGATTCAAAATCAACCGTAACTGCCTACCTTATCTATATGTATGCTGGCATCTTTGTGGCTATTGTTATCTTCTGTTCTTCAATGTTCCTCCTATGGAAACAAGCAGATAAATGGAAAAGATACACTGACTATATCTGCGCTGGTTCGATCCGTAGCAGCGTGAGTAATGATTCTTCATTTGTCTTTATACACACCACATAATCAGAATTCGTTCTATAATCTAACTCTAACTACTGCACAACAAGACGACTATTTAAGAAAAACAGTGAGAGTTGTAGGGCAGAAAATGCACATCGATCTATCGCCTCCAATTCTTCACTGAATGATGTTTAGGAGAGTCTTCTAAAATAATACACATTCAGCGTCTTCACCGGAGTAGGAGGAGAACAGGAAGGTCTACGCGATCCAGAGCTTCCAGTCAAAGAGCACATTCCCAACGTTCAAGCCGTTCAAGACAATCCACCGGCCCGAACAGAAATACTCGCTCTAGTCGGTCCAGTCGATCTAATCGGTCCAGCCGATCTAATCGGTCCAGCCGATCTAATCGGTCCAGTCGTTCGAAACAAAGCGATCGTTCCGGACGGTCTGGCCGTTCAAGTCGGCGCAGTCGTTCCAGTCGACGTAGTCGTTCGCAACGTTCTTCGTGTGGAGCACGCACGACCTCATCGAATAGAAGAGACTCCCTCACACCAAGAACATCTAATCGCGGCAGTGAATCCAAACGTTCTTCCAGACGCGAATAGAAAGCTCATCGACTGTTTCAGCTCTCACTATCAACTTGTCGGCCATCTTTGATTGGTACAGCGGTGTGTTGAGCATAAAGTTTCTGATAGTTTTTTGCTTTTAAAACTTCACAAGTCATTGAACAATGCGGACGGTTCTACTAAGCATTAAAGGCCACTATGACTGAGAAAACGACAAATCTGGCAGAAGGTTTCCCATAATTTCTTTGCCCAAATGATGACAACACTGTCGCAACGGGAGTGCCCGGTTATGGTGGAGACGCTTCGTTTAAGTTAGCCGAATAGTCCTGGCTGATATCGTTACTACTAGTGCAAAGCCCCCCGGCATTGATCAATCCCTGAGGGATGCGCTATGCATTCGACTTCGTTAAGCATCGTTTGGAGGTGATTGAATGCATATCTGGCCTTTACAATGAGTGGCCTACCGATGTATCGAGCTAGTGCTGCTATCCTTCCGGACAAGTTTGGTACCAATTTGCCGATCTCAGATAGGAGGCTTGGCGGGTCATGGGCGCAGGGATTGATCTCACGAGCGTGTTGCAGGGCGCTTCCGACCACTGCACCACACGGACCCTTACTACTAGCATAGCAGTTAAAAACACAGAACACAAAATCTTAAAATTTCGACATACTTAAATCACCAATTCGACGCAAAAGATTTATAAGCAAAAACTTTTAAAGACCTTGAAAACCTTGCAGTTGTACATTCAATAACTTAACAAAATTTCTACGAAAAACATCCAAAACAAGATCTTCGTTCAAGACGTCTTCGATATAAATCTGATGATATGGATATGATAAAGAAAGCTCAAAATTTTCTAGGGTCCATTTTTCTCCACAAGAGCTCTTCACACGGTAGCTCTGTTCTGTTACCCTGCAAAAATAGGTTTGAACGATGGTGAAACGATCGTTTAGAGTAAGGTGCCACCAGTTGACTGACTGATGATGTAACAACTTGTACTCGACTCACATCATTTGAATCTGAAGAGAACGATGCCTTCAAGGCTGAACAGATCTTTCTTCTGGCACATCAAGACTGACAAACTACCACTACTACTGTCATCTTCGATGCTACACGAGAATCAAATGAACGTGAAAACATCAATTGAATTACCACTGACTCATCGTCACAGAATCTGCCATAGCCTGTTTTCATATTCTTCCCGATGGTTCGAAGCAAGCACTACCAAGTAATGCTATTCCAAAAAAAACTTCATGACCGGAGTCGAGGGTCATTACGATGTTAGGCCACGATGATGAGCCGATGTTCACTTGCTCGTTTAGAGACATGCGAGGCTCAGTTGCTGCGCAGATCCAGTGCTTTCGAAAGGGATCAAGTTGAATGTCTAACTCAAAAATTCTTCGCCGTTAGAGCCTCTTCATTGAGTTTTCTGATTTTTCAGCATCTACTACTACATAATTAACCGAACATTCCACACCGAAAGTCACAAAGTTGACAAAGTGAACATGGACTAGGATGCTTTTAGAGTGTGTCAATGGTTCGCAGTGCTACATAAGCTTCTACAAACTTTTTCTTGATGGCTTTCAATACTATATAATGTAAGCCTCGCGACCCAGAGAAATGCATTATGGAGAATTTCACTTGCTGGATATGAATGTGGGATTACAAAATCTTCATTAACAACTTTTCTATCCAAGGATCTAAACACACACATACACATAGACACATATGTGAAAGAGTATTCGGGCGTCTCCTCCCAACGGTCTACCGCCTCATCGCGGCTGGGAGGTGTTCCTGGATGTTGGGCTCGATGGTTAGCGGGAAAATTCATCACCTGGCAGGGTTTCCCAAGCTGAAAAGGAGTCTGGCGTTTCCATCAGGAAGCCTAGCTAAGAGTAATCCAATACCTTCTACCACCTTCCTGGTATCAAATCAGTCGGGTGGTGGCAAATCTTTTTCAGATACACTACGGCTGCGACTGCCTGTGGTGGTTTCGACCTATCGCGGAGTCTGGCCATGCTGACCTCGGGATTCCACGGAACCACAGTGGTTAAACAAGCAAATCTTTGAAAAATGGAGATTATGCTCAGGCCTGTACAACCAGTGAGGACGTGCCACCCATATATCCTAGTATTCGGTCCTTTAGATGTCTTCCGAAACTCTGCGGCGTAACATTTGTCATCCACATAAAAAGTTCCTTGTCATTAGACATCGGTGATATCTCTTTCATCTAATTTCACCAACCCTTAAATGACGCTGATGATTGTTGCTTCCGCATCCAGGACCGCCTAACCAACACTTTATTGTCTCACTGAGACCGGATCTTTTTTCAACTTTCTCGTCAAACGAATATCAACAGCAACTAGTTTCGGGAGAGCGAAAAAAGGTTCCATATGAGAAGCACCACAATATGATATGTTGCATCAACAACGTTTTAAATCATGCCGTAAATTACCAGATTTTAAAGGGAATATGTAATTTTCTAACTTTCAGCTGTACGTGTTCATCTCTGTGCACATCACCTGTATCACTTAATTTCCCTTTGATCGGCAAAGAATTCGAGTCGGTGTCAACAAAGTCCCCATTCGTACCTGCCAGAGTTACCCAGTGGATTTTGTTTATGATAGAGACTTGACGAGCATTATTATGTTCAATAAGTTTCGCCTTAAAGAAATCTAGTGAACAGGTCAGTGGGTATCTTGTATGTGCCTGAAATCCCATCAGAACTGGTTGCCAGCGGCCCTTGTCTACTGACGATAGTCAGGATACAATTTGTCTAACACTCACAATCTCATATCTTTGTATATCATCATATTATCTCTCTCAATTGTGTCCTAGAGCGCAGCAAAATTTATGAACCTGAGTGCAACACGTTAGAATCTTCAGTTCTTTGTCAACGAAATATAAAGTTGTTTAATCAATCGCTATAAAAACTCCGACTTTTAGAACCTAGAAGTTTTCGGAAGGTAATCTTGTAGCAGTAGCTTTGTTAATTGAGATTTTCTTGGTACGTAGTTCTCAAGGAACCTTGGCGAATGGAAGCCAATTGGGGAGGTATTCACTACCTGTGCTGCGTGCTGCATAGACTTGTGCCGTGTTCTTTCAACCTTGGCAGTGTAGCTTGAACAACTTGTGGGTCAGAGATTGCAGTTCTTTGCAAATTTGTCAAGCTACGGCAATAATTCCCTACATTAATGACTTCACCCAGACCTATGAAGTTGTGTAACCATACGCCGAGCATGAAGAAAGTTTTTATTTTATTTTACTCTCACATAATCTGATTTTACTCCCACATAATATTAATAGCGGCTTTGGGGAATGTTCCAGCCCTTCTTCATGCCCAACTGTTGGCGGAACGACGTCAGGTTTCATGAAATGTGGAATTCTCACCGCAGAGCACAACGTGAACAAAAAACATACCGTTCCGGTGGAGGAAAAAAAGGACAAAACAACTTTGATATCGAAAATTCCCTTGTTCTTCTATTTGATTCATACGGCTTATTCCTGACGAATTTCCTAACTTCCAACCTTAGAAGACGTATTCTAAAATTGAAGCTGTTACCACACACACACAGATACTTGGTTGTATCAGAAAGGTTTCGAGCCAATTTGCACAAATATATGTGGATACCTTCAGGTTGTCGATAATGATGTCAGCCGGTCTTCTCCAATCCTCAGCATGAAGGTCCTATCTTCATAAAGAAACTTCTGTAACTAAAGTCGTACCAAACATTCGTTAACGATTCTTCGACTGAATGCAACACTGGTAATGCAGATGGTCTCCGCTGATTTACTTCTACCCTTGATTTCATATACGAATTTGCTCGAATTATTCTCCAAACAGCCGGATGTATTCCTGTGATATTGAGAAAGCACAGATGGGGAGTGTAGCGTGGTGGTCGGAGGCGCCCTGCAACACACAGGCGGAGTCGATCTCGTCGCCCCTAGCCCACAAAACCTTCCATCCCTCCGCGCTCGGCAAATTGGTGCCCGATTTGTCTGGGAGGATAGCAGCACTGGCTCGATGCATCGGTAGGCCACCGCGAGTAATTGTAAAGGTCAGGTATGCATTCAATCATCTCCAAACGATGGTTAATAAAGTCGTATGCATGGCGCATACCGCCAGAGATTAACCCGAGAGCTTTATCGTTTCATTATTAAAAAAGCACTCAACAAATGATTTAGCGTCCTATGGTGACTGAGAGATATTGCTTCAAAATGATCTGAGATAGACAGCTGTTTAAGTGCAAATTTTTGCCACGATATAGCTCGGAGAGGTACCAATGACTATTTTGTAAACAAGGGTAGTAGAAACTAAAGAATGTCATATCAAGATTGTCAAAAAGCAAAAGTAGACTTTATTTAACGTTTGCTCGAGTTGTTATTAAAACCATTACAAATGGCAAGTAACTGCTAACGTAGTGGAACACATCGTGATAAAGTGGCTTTCTTCCGAGGAAGTTTTTACTTTTAAACCAGAGCAATACCTTCAATGACTTCGTACTTTGAGAACTAGTGTTCGAGTGAGACAACTATTCTTGTTGAACCAAGGCCTTTCTAAACGTAGAAAAGCACCGAATATACAAAAATTCTTTCATAAATGTACTAAAGGTTCTGAAAGTTCTCCTGCATTTCCAGGTCCACGCTTCATTTATCCCTGCTTTTAACGGACCATCAGACGGACCAAGTTAGCTATATCCAACTCTACGAATTCTGACGTGAAAGACTGTCTTAGGCTTAGCCTTCGCCTTGGTTAGCAAGCCGTCACGTGTACTGCGATGCTTTCTCCGATGGCTTTTAGGAAAGTCCGGAATTTTCAAACAAAAAAGCGGACCAAATGAAGTAGGCCATCGACTGTACGGTCCGAATAGGACAATGATCTGTGAAATTTAAACATTTAGAAAAAAGCAAAAAGTCAACATGACAGTAGGACCGAAAATATGCACACCGACGTACATTGAAATATAAGAGCAAACTGTCAAATACTCCCAGCTTACGGTCGTGGCCCAATTTCTGCAACTGCGACTCCGTGAAATCAAATCATACGACTCATTTTTCTAGAAGAACAAGGTATCTCGAAACTAAGATGCATAGAAAACTCGTCCACCTTTATATCGATCTTACGGACGATTTTCATAGAAAAGTCCATGTTTGTTGGATTTTAATTATATTGATTTTTTGATAGCATTGATTGGAATTTCTCGTCAATCATTCAGCATTTACGGTTTGTGTCAGCGTTCACCAAGCTACCATCGCTTATCAATTTTCACCCTATATCATGGACAATGATTTTCATTCAAGGCCACCATTCCTTAAAGACAGTATGATAACTACTTTAAGCATACAACAAACGTCCAGAGGAAAGGTGACCACCTAGAACACTGAAAGTAGATGTCGCACATTTAACTGAACATCAAGAAGGCGGAGTATGTTGAACGTAAGAAAAAGTGTCTAGGCACCATTTCGGTACATGACACCAACTTTCTTAAAGCACCTTGGGTTGATAACGACATCAATCCTTAATCAGACGACTGCGATTCGAGTATCCTAAGTTTCGTATTTTAACCGACATTAACTCTAACGAATACTAATTGTCGACGGTAATTGCTGCACGGAGTAAATGAAGAGTAGTTGATTTATGCAGTTAAAGTCGGCTAGTTAGATCATTCTCGACCAACTGAAAGAGCAATCGCAAGATTACTGCGTCATAGAATTGTCGTCGTCGGAGAAGAATCAAAAGAGGTAGCCAGAAAATCTCCCTTCGATCGCATGCGGAGGGTATTGCTTGTCGCGAAGAATTGAAAGCGTTGCAGTACCGCTATTTTGGAGTGCTAGGCTATAATCAACCTCAGCTAAACATTTCAGCTAAGAGAGGTTGTCCAGCTTCAGCCGAAACTACATACGAATCGAACCACCACTACAGAAGACTGTTGCAAGACAACAAAAACAAATCAAGTGTTGAAAATGCTGGGGATTGCGCGATATGTTTATCTGTACTGGCAGACCTTATATGTGATTGTCAGCTCTTCTTCAAAGATTAAAGTCTAGGAGAAGAAAATTTGGGTTGGCATCAACTACAGTGTTTTAATGATATGCCATGAAGCGAGAGAAACCATCTTAGTCGTCTGACCCACTACGAAAAGATTTGCTAAAGACTACCAACAAAGATTGACTAGCTCTCAAAAGAATAACAGGGATCAATCTGTTATCTGTTCTTTCGGTGACGGTTGAATGACTCGAGCACGCGCCAGTAAACCTTCCATTTCTTCCTGTCGCGTGCAAATGTGGCCAAGTGGGTTCTGCTCGCTTTGGGACTCGTTGAGCATCATATATACCTTGTTGAGCTTTTATGAAAAATTTTGACCACTGGGTGGATAATCTTATTATGGTGTGTTTGACATCACCACGGACCAACTCCTCGTTCCTCGTAAAACAACGTGACGCATCCAGAGGTGGCCAATAGGGAGTTAATCGCGGAACAAAAGTGACCTCATGCTTCCTTGAGAGGCGAATGGATTTAGAAGATGGAGCTCCTGTTTTTACTGTTACTTTGGTTACTTGATTACTTTTACTTTGACACCTGTGTTGCCGGGGACGTATTCATGCAAACGTGCGTGTGTGTGTTCTTCTCTATGCGAATTTTATTCTGCGAGTCAATTCGGCCGAAAGCCTGTAATCAATTGAGATGGAGTGTATTGAAGATGGTTAGGAATCAAACAACAAACAACAAATAAGCTCTTCCTTTACTCTGGGAGAGATTGGCAAGCTGCCCATGAGTATATTTAGCTCTTACGTTTGGAGCTTAGCACACTGTACGTGGGCATCAAATGCTAAAAGGATAAAGCTCTCAGTGTTGATCAATCCCTGAAGGATGCTCCATGCATTCGACTTCATTAAGCATCGTTTGGAGGTGATTGAATGCATATCTGGCCTTTACAATGGCTCGCAGTTGCTTACCGATGTATCGAGCCAGTGCTGCTATCCTCCCAGACAAGTCCGGTGCCAATTTGCCAACTCCGGAGGGATGGAAAGCTTGCTGGGCCATAGGTGCGAGGATCGATTTCAGTGTGTCGCAGTGGCGCCTTCAACCACTGCGCCACACGCGCCCATCAAATGCTAAACGCAGTAAAATAAGTGGGCCTCACAATGAAGAGTATACGCAGAAGAAGCAACACAACAGAGAACGTATCAAGAAAATTGTCTATGATCATCTATGGCCGATGGAGTAAAAAAAAAGAACAAAAATTATCTCTCAAAAGTTTTTTCATTCTAACTGGAACATTCTAACAGGAAATCGAAGAGTGAAGACATATTGAGCAAAAAACTGCTGTAAAGTTAGATCCAATGAACTCTGGAATGTTCAGCAAGGACAGCAGATATGACGAATTACCAAAAAGGTTTAGTTTGCAAATTTTCTTGAAAACATCACCTAGTACTGTGACAGAAATTCCTACATAATACCCATGACAAATTGACAGAATGATGTTGCCCAGAAAGCGATTCATCATCCGACCTGCTCATTTACGTTGACAAGAAGTCCGCACTTCCAATCAGAAACCCAAGTAACTCACCGTTTTACCAACACTACAGAGCCCACCGGACTGCTTGGGAGGACATTCTAGCCAATGGCGGTGAACGCACGCTAATCAGGAACTAGTGGAAACTCAATTGATTTTTGCTTAAGTCAATTGGTGATTAAGATGGTTACAATAATAGGTGATAGCTGAACGCGAACAATCTGTTCGCTACATACTCCTTCAGTTCCTATCTCTTCTATCAATAAGCAGTCACAAAATAGTTGAAACTTATAATAAAAACGGTCACAACTTTTTACAAAAACGAAGACGACAGATAGGAAGTGATCACTTTTCAATCACAATGCCCACGTTCGGGATGCCCACCACTTTACGTCGTAACCTTCTCGTCGAACGAATTTACTCCCTCGTGTAAAAATTGTCACAAGTGAAAGTCAGTGACTACTGCGCACTTTGACTACGCCATTAAAGTGAACTCTTGTGTTTTTTCGCTGAACAACATAAGTCGCAAACCTGAATGAGATCGTTATGCAAAAAGTGAATAGACAGCGAAACCAACTATCTGAAACCAACTGAAAAATCATCAAAACGACAGACAGTCCAGGACAGTAAAAAGTACTCGGTTATGCACTTTTCACTTACAGACCCACTCTGAAGGTCACTGTACTACCATTACTTCGCCACTATAAATAGAGTCCATAACGGTTGTTCTTGTAGTCAGTCAGCAATCATGAGTAAAGTGATTGTGATCGGCTCGGGGGTCACGCTTACGGTTGTGGTGTGTTCGCTTGTTACCATGATCTCATTACTGAAAGATATTGCCGATCTTCGACTTGAAGTCGAAGTAAGCATGGATGAGTTTAAGGTGAGTTCAGATTTTCATCTACACGACGTCTAAAAGAGTTAGTGCTTCGAAAGTGTAAGATTTTGATTGAATTGTAACTCACTCCATATTCTCGGCACATTATCAACTCCTAAATAATTTAATTTAAAAATCCACGAATATCCAGAAGTTGAAGGACAGTGGAAAATAGAGATAAGTTTTGTCTATATATCTCGCGATATCTATTTGTTCTATCTATTATACCATTACTAAATTTCTATTTATTTATTTAAAGTAAAATAGCAAATAAATATGCTTTAATCAAAGCATAGGGGGCGTGTAGCGCAGTGGTCGGAGGCGTCCTGCATCACACACGTGGAATCGATCTCCGCGCCCTTGGCCCGCCAAACCTTCCAACCCTTCCGAGTCGGGAAATTGGTACCAGATTTATCTGCTATTACTTGCTATTACTCAGCACTGGCTCGATACATCGGTAGGCCACTCATTGTAAAGACCAGATATGCATTCAATCACCTCCAACGATACTTAATGTAGTCGAATGCATGGTGCTTTCCTCAGGGATTGATCAACGCCGAGAGCTTTATCCTTTTACCCTTTAATGCGTACAAAGATCTTCATCTCCACTCCACCTCTTCCCCCTGGAATAGACTCGAGCAGAGTCGTGCTGTTCCACTTCGATTTAACAAATATTGCTGTTATTCTTTTATACTACTGATTTGTACTGTCCAGTCAGGTAATTCGGTTCAAATAACTTTTACAGGAGATTACCGACGACACATGGACCCACATTCTCACTAAGCACATGAATCCATCTGGTAGCTCCAGTGCTGCACCAAATATTGCTATGATACTTGGACGTCGCCCTCGTGCCGTGGGATTCCCTGAGCAGTGCAACTGCGGCCCAAAATCAACTGGTTGTCCACCTGGACCTCCTGGACCACCAGGACCAAAAGGGCTTCCTGGATTGCCCGGAAGTGATGGCGAAGATGGACGGCCTGGTGCTCCAGGACCCGCGCTTGCTATTACTCACGACATTCCTGGTGGTTGCATTACATGTCCAGCTGGTCCCCCAGGACCACGTGGGCCACCTGGAGAACCAGGACCACCTGGAGCACCAGGAATATTTGGCCACCGTGGACCGCCAGGTCCACCAGGCCCAATGGGAGAAATTGGACCGCAAGGAGACGAAGGAATGTCAGGTGTACCAGGTCGCCCAGGACCACCAGGACAACCTGGTGAGCCCGGAACGCAGTACAGTCAAGGTATGCCGGGACATCCCGGTCCACCAGGACAAAGAGGGCCACCGGGTGAACCCGGACAAGCGGGTGTGCCAGGTAACGACGGCAAGCCTGGACCACAGGGTCGACCAGGTCTTCCTGGAAAGGATGGACATCCTGGACGGAATGGGCAACCTGGACAGGTTTGCTATGGTTTAAAAGCACCATTGGATAATACAATGCATAAATGTAGCTTTCTTTATTACAGAGAGGAGAAAATGGAAAGGTTGGAGCCGATGCCGAATACTGTCCCTGTCCACCACGCGGTCGAAAGCGACGCTTCTAATTTGACTACGATCAAATCCATGAAACACTGTCATCCCTATTTTGGTAAAGATACAAATTTAACACTACAAGTATTAAGATTTCTAAAGCTGTTTCTTGAAAACTCGAAATGTGTTCTGACTTTTTTCTTCAAAATTCTCTCGTACTCGAACGTTTTCATGATCAACTTCAGAAATGCTAAGGAAATAAACCTTAATTTCTTCCCGACTATTTGAACCGTCAAAACGAATAGCCTTGTTCATTACAGATACACCACTTCAACCTAACAGAAATACTGTTATGAAAAATCAATGGTGTTTGAAACTTACTTGTGCAAATTTTTGCATTCAATAACACCAAATCAAGACATTCGGGCGCGTGTCTCAGAGATTTAACCTATTCCGCACTGTATGAACACTAGAGTGCTCACATTTAGCTTAATATTCAGTTTACTGGGTTTCAGAGCTTTTTTGGCACACTATGTTCGACAGCTAATCGAAGGCAGATCAATGTGGTAGGGTTGGGACCAGAAAAACCATTCTCTACACTTAATGATATACAAAAAAGAGTTCCATTCGCAGTAGCACCGCTCCGAGAAGGCGAAATCGCCGAAACGCCACCCATTGAACAACATCGACACCAACAACAGCAACGACAACCATACCAACCTCGCATCGAGTCAACAACGGCAGTTCCTGGCAACGTGTAAATAAATATACCCATTATTTATGCTGAGGCTTATAGAAAGGCGGTCTTTTGAGTTATTCACAAGAAACGTTTTTTTTCGAAAACGTTCTTCGACCGATAGTTTGACTAATAATTAACTGTTCTTTTAATTTAATCGCTACGGTCAACGTATGGAATGTGTGTATATGAAGATAACGAAATAGAATTAACAGAAGGCGCAAAATGCTTCCAAGTGATGACAGAAATTTATCTGAATAATGGACCATAGTAAAAGCGCGTGTAGCGAAGCCGTCGGAGGTGCCCCGCAATACATATGGAATAGACACCCGCGCACCGGGCTTACTAAGGCCTCCATCCCTTGAGGGTCTGCAAATTTGTACCAGACTTGCCTGGGAGGATAGTAGCATTGGCTCGACACATCGGTACGACACCGCTAATCATTGTAAAGGTCAGATATGCATTCAGTACCTGCAGCGATGGTCAATGAAGTCGAATGCATGGTGCATCCCTCAGGGATTCATCAACGTCGAGAGCTCTATCCTTTATCCTTTAGTGAACGATAGTGACGCACGGTAAATAGTAGTATACAAATTGTTCATCCTTCTAGGACGATAGAGCAAAGTGCACTCTACAATCCTATCATGTTCAAAACCCCCATTCTCTAGTTATTGGGAAGAGATTTCTTATTGTCAAAAACCAAAAAGTCCGCAGCCGAAGAAAGATTGCTCGTATTCGATTGGAGTAGCCAAGGAGAAACGACTTAGTGGATTAAGCAAATTTCGCAAAACTTAGAACAACAGTTCGTTCTACAGTCGCAAATTAACTCAATCCGCTTGACCCGGAAATGTTGGCAACATCTGGCATTACTATGGAATTTGGTGAAGCAAGAAATTTAAGGGCCAACTTTTAGATGTATAAAATCACTTGGAATATTGTTGGACGGTTATTTATGTGCCTACAATAAAATTATTTTAACTGTCCAACTAATGGAGGACTAGAAATACCCATAAAAAAGGGTAAAGCTCCCGGGGTTGATCAATCCCTGAAGGATGAGCCATGCATTCGACTTCATTAATTATCGTTAGAGATGATTGAATGCATATCTGGCCTTTATAATGACTCGCGTGGCTTGCAGATGTATCTAACAAGTGCTGCTATCCTCCCAGACAAGTCTGATACCAATTTGCCGACCCCGAAAGGATGGAAGGCTTGGTGGGCCACGGGCGCGGGGATCGATTCCACGTGTGTGTCGCAGTGGCGCCTTTAACAACTGCGTCATATGCGCCCTTAAAAGAGTACCCATGTTCTGGGCTATTTGGTATCTTTGTAACACGTTAAGCCTATTTAAATCAATCGTTTACCTCCTTTTTTGGGCGTCAAACTCCTAAGTCCATATAACATATGGTAAAAGTAATGGGGCAACCTTTTATATAACTACAGGTGAAACAGCTAGTCTAATGAAATCTGCTTCCTACATATTCCACGACCGGTTAGTCCACTAATCGCAGGATCCATTGCCATCACCGAAAATGCAGGTTCCCCTAGAACAAATGCGTCAGATAGCATTATACCTTATTCCAATCCGCAAGGTTCGGCGATAGGTGGTAGAATCTGGGTGAAAAGCTGAGTACGTTCTAGCACAGTTCAATCGAAACTCTTGGAACACCCCATTCAAACAGCAATCAACATATTAGTGAGGAAAGGATATGGTAGATCCTAAAGATGTCCTCGAAGCCGTGCATGAATTTGCAATTACAATCGTGTTTTGTTATCGCTATTGACAAGAACGTAACTATGAGAGTTTTATAGACGCTATTATGGTTGGAACACCCTTGCAGGCACCTTGCAAGACTCCTCCGAGAAGTGTATCTTATTTTTCGAAGGCCACTGTGGATTATCTTTCTTGGAGCTTCTAATCAGTGGATAGCCGGCTTATATAGACAACGAACATAAACGAAACCAACGTACTCATAAGAACGATTATACTTACATGGAAGGCATAAGTAAATTCAGCGCAATAGGGGCAGTAAATTAATCTACTGGACCGACCTCATCTCAGGAAAAGTCCATTTGATTTGCAATTTATTCCTAATTCGCTATACGGTGAAGTACCATATACCCACTGATTTTTCTCAAATAGGCGAGATAAGTATGACTGAGAAAACCACCAGTGGATTTAATTTTTATATGACGCCGATGTCATGTAGGGTCAGAACAAAGATTTCCAGAAATCCAAATGCTAAATTTTTATTAAGTTTAAATTTCTGCTTCCAACGCCCGCATACATCCTCAAATGTGAACGAGACACATTGAAGAACATCAAAGTATCCTCATGGACGAAAAGCGACTTGTTCACTTGGTTTCATGTTCGAAATACGAACCGCGATGGAAAACCATGGATGAATTACGTCCTGTGAGCTTCAGAAAATTAAAATTTCATCCTTGATTGAAGAGGAAAACTAGCATTTGTGCGAGAAACACTAGTAGAATTCAGAAGTTTTTTGCTTTAATAAATGAAGTTCAATATAAATAATGGATAAAAGGGACAATGTTCTCGATGTTGATCAATCCCTGAGGGATGCCCCACGCATTCGACTTCATTGAACATCGTTGGACGTGATTGAATGCATAACTGGCCTTTACAATGACTGGCGCTAGGCTACCTATCTATCGAGCCAGTGCTGCTATCCTCCCAGATAAGTCTGGCACCAATTTGCCGACCTCGGAGAGATGAAAAGCTTGGTGAGCCTGGGATGCGGGGATCAGTCCTACGTGTATTGCGGGGCGCCACCGAACACTGCGCTACACGCGCCCTTTAAGCTCAATATGAACCAGAAAATATTGCTTCTGCGGTTGCCCAGCCGTAATTTTCGTGTCAATGCTTTGCACTCGATGGTTATGAGTTAATTGCTCAGAGTTAAGGCTCCAGGCATGATCGCGTTTTGCAGCATAGATCCATCGTACTTCTAAATGATAATACAAAGCAAGCCAGTATAAAAACGTTCATAACTACTAGGAGAAATTTGAACGATCAAACAAATTTGTTTTTAAGAAGGAATCCGCATCACATGTTACCATTCTGATCTAGACAGCACTTTAAATTCACGTATTAACAAATTCTGAGCAACACCTAACTCCTGACTTCCGCGTCTGCAAAAAAGAAGTTCGGACTTTTTTCTGGCAGCGTATTGCATTGAACTCAATACGCATTGACTGTTGAGCTCTCCAAAAAGAGAAGCATAAGTACTCCTACCTTCCGAAACTTCTATGGGAAGCGAGTAAATCCGTCCGAAGACAAACTTCCTATAACCTCCTAAGGTGTACGATGTAGCGTTTCTCCACCCAATCATGATTGCGTAGTGTTCATGAGCGTTGGCCTATAATAAACTGCCCGGGCTTATTCTTAGCACGATATCCTAGCTCCTAGAATATTCCAACATCCTCATACGGAAGCACAACTAAGAGCAAAACAATGCTCTTAAATAGATCGGAGAGCTGCTAATGGCCATGTTCGCCTCAAAAACATTGAAAAAGGGCATCATAATAATAGTGGTGGTCTTCATGACCCTCAGAGCCAGTGTAACTCATTAGGAAGCTATTGTTCGCGAAGTAGAGCGGATCCTGTTTACTGGTGCCTACATAAATTACTCGAACATGAGGCCTTTTCCACACGCGTAGTTGTAGTTCTCCTCGGACTGCGTTGGCGACAGTTAATTTGGTGGGCAATCTATTGGCCTAACATAGAAAGTGCAGCGAAAGAACTCTGCACGGCAAAACAAGCACACGTATAGAAAATGCATCGAACTCCATGCACACTGTCCGTCTTGCCTATCCTCAAAGGAAAATGTAGGATACAATCAATATAGTTGTCAGCAGTGGTAAACGATTAAGCAATAGGTGACAGTCACAACTTGAAACCCAGGTCCATAATTAACAGATACACTAAAGGCTTAACGAATAGACATAAAATCTTACAATTTACTTCCAGCGAAAACAAATTAACCATTGTATGAACATATTTCACAGAAAAATTCACAGTAGTATGATAAATTCGAGCTGCGATCTTTCAGGATACAGCCGAAAACGAAAAGAAACCTTAGTTGGAAGAATGATACATGAAGATGGAATAGAAGAGAAAACCCCTACAAGGATAACAACAACACGAACAACAGTGTAACAACAATGCTGAACATAATAAATCTGAAAACAAAAAAAAAAAAGAAAAGACAAAAACACTTGCAGATTCTACAAAGCTAAAAGCCAAAAAAATTGAAGCCACCATCCTTGTCATTCGAATTGCTATCGTTAGAAATTCCTCCAAAATTGAATTCAAATCCATCGTCGCCCTCATCTCCATTTTGCGACGGATTACCAAAATCGAAAGCGAAATCACCACCAATCCCTGAAGGTGTTGAAGGCTTTACAAAATTTTCTAGCAATGCACCAAATAGCTGAAGTGCCTTACAAACCTTCCGATGCTCCTTCTATATCACCTGATGCACCAAACATTGAAAAGGAGAACTCTGCCGCTAAAATAGATGCTTCACGCAAATACACTTACACAAAAAACTATAGCAAAATTTCACACCTGCATACCCAGAACCTTCGCTTTGCCTGTCTCGTTCCCGTCTCCCATGCGTAGATTCCATAAGAGAAAGAAAATCGGCACCAGGATCTGTAACAATACAACATTGTTCATGTCTGGTATAAAAACCCGATTCTTACCATTGCTATGCGAACTTATATTCAAAACCATAGTTGGGTCGAATTCTTCATCGTTGGCACCACTGGTAAAGGTGAACGGAATTCCATCCTGTATTGGAGAAGTTGGTCTACTCAGCAACTGGAAACACAATGCGATTGAAAAGCAATGTTTTCGTATTCGATCAATCTACAGTAACGTACTCACAGGGCTAAAGAAAGCACCAGTTTCTTGACTTGCACCAATACAAGGAGATGGAGTTGCAACATTAAGAACGCCGTCTAACGATTTTGATGAGGAAGCTGCTATAAAATTCTTACCACACAACGTTATACTGTATCCCATGTTCCATGTGGAGCGGAAAAAACTGAGGCAAGCAAAATGCCTTTCATAACAAACTAAAGTTCCCATTCAAGTGGACTGAGCAAATCATAAACGGAACAAAAACAACGATGACCTCAGATGCTAGTACCATTCCGATATGATTCCGTTGTGTGACCTCTGTGAGATACGATTACCTGATTACCTTTCTTGTCACTGGACGAATGTGGCTGATATGCATCCTTCGTCGATATAGTCGTCACTGTTCCTATGCATTCCTTATTCTCATGAAGGATAGCCTCTTCTGTAGCAGAGTCAACGCTTTCTTGTGATCCAATGCCCTCCTCATGAATAGTTTCCTGCAAACAATCTCTAGAAAGTCGAGTTCAAGGTAATTGCCGTAAAAATTAAAGAATTATCCAGTGCAGTCATCAAAAGTACCACATATAAAAGTTCTAGCTAAAAAAGTAGAAATTATCTACATCTTGATTTCCTTCTTCCATAGCAGCACAACCATCCTCAGCCGCATCCTCCTCATCCAAATCATCATCTGAGAAATCTCCACGACTAATTCCCTAAAATAACACTTTAATCTGTAAAGTAGAAATACATGACCATAGGAAACATAGGAATTTCACTTGAAACAAAAACATACTTGAATCCCATTAACGTCCATGTCTTCGTCAGCGTTTTCGTTCACATTATCATTATCCAAGACTGGTTGCGCATTCTTTTCATCCGTAATCCTCATTACCTGTTAATATTACTTGTTAAAAAATAAAGCCGAAAATAACAAGTAAATAACTTAGGATAAGATATGACAAACGAGACAAACATACTTCGACATCCATTCGATGAGATCGATCAATGTTGTGCAGATTGTAAATAGACCCGCGCTCAACCTCATTTCGAGCCTTCTCTCCAGAACCACTGCCGCGTGACTGTAACTTTACATATCAACCGGCGCAACAACAACAAAGAGGACACTACAAGTATCCGGTCATGGGTCCGGAAGCCTTTCAAAGGGCAAAGCGGTAGAGACTGGCGGCCAACCTGTCGTTACTTTCCCATCATAAACAGTAAAAATAAAGGATCTCATATAATACGACGTCAAAAGTGTAATACTGTTTGTTTCTATCAAATGAGCAGAATCACAATTAGAGAATTCGACGCAAGACAGGTAGATATCTAGACTACACAGAAGTCACTCTAAAATATAAAATGGTATAAAGCTGACCTCAGCCTGCCTGGAAATCGACTCCGATTGCTGGGTCACATAATTCTTAACCGCATCGGTGCGAGCCTTCCTTACATCCTCTTCGGTATTTTGAGGAGGCTCTGTAGGTGGTGATTTGCTAGAGCTACCGGTTGTTGGTGTTTCACTACAGTTGGATTCTTCGTCTACAGGTTCTACTGTTTTCGATACAGCTGTTGGTCTGAGCAACTCACATTGCATAACATGATCGGGAGCCTAAAAGTCAAGTTATAAAATCGCATAATAATGACAGATGTCAAACTTCCTACACCGAAACTTCTTCGATCAAAAGGTATAACTATAGCTGATGTGCAGAGAACTTGTTACTGATAGCGATAATTAATAAGAGTGAATCCTGGCTAAAATAACAATGTTAACTTTTTATTTGCTCCCTACTACAATTTTTTCTCCAAATTAATTCCCTTGCAGGGTGATTGCTGATGGCGCTGATAGATCGAAAACTAGCTAAAAGACAGGCGAAACAAAGGACCCACATGGTGTGGTGGTGAACGTGTTAGCCCCCGAAAAGGTAATAGCGCATTCGCTCCCCACCTCAGACACCTACAGTCCGCAGTATATCTCAGCATCATTGTTTGTACTCCACATAATCCTGGCTGGGTTTTTGCACCTGTCTATCGAGAAATGCTTTTCACATTTCTAATTCTACAGTCAATGTCATCCAAAAAAGTGACTGTTCAAATACCGATAATGTCACAGCACAAGAATGTATTAAATAAAATCTTCGAAGCAAATCTAACATAAAGCCGACAAACTTACGCATAGAAAGCTATCATGCAAAAATCACCTTTTTCAAGTTATAGTCCAACGACATAAATGACGCATCAAAGGCATCATATTCAGAGGCACCTGACTTTATTCTTTCCATTTCTTCAGCCTAAAATTGGCTAGTATAGAAAAGAGAAGTACTGTTGGAACTGTGAGACTAACCTTTAGTTGTTCAAAGATCTTCCTTGCTTCACCGAGCTTTTCCTGCATCTCTAAGGTACGAAGAGTGATTTTGGCGAAGTTAACCATAAAAACACGCAAAGGAGTAGCAATTTGGAACTCTACTAAAAAATACTGATAAGTAATTGAAATTTGAAAGCATCCGCATGATAAACGAACATTCTTTTTTCAGCCGCGCTTCCTCCTGTTCCAGTTTGTTATATTCCAATTTCAACTCTTCTAGACGCATCTCCAACGCCGTCACAGCATTTTGCTCCTACGGCCCATCAATGGAAATAAAATGAAAAACAGAAATTATAGAAGAGAGCATTTACGATGTTTTGTTGTGCTAAACGAGGTGACTGGTCCATTAGCGCTTGTAACCTATCTCTCTGCTTGCAAGCGGTCTGTAGAGAAGAAGCCCACACGGCATTGTTTCGTTCAACCTAAAAATACATCTTGGTGCAATTTAATGAAAGTGCAATAAATTTCATAAGTAACCACAATTATAAAACATGACCGAATACAAAGTTAACTGGAACTGTAGACACCACACCTCATTAGTCAGCTTTTTGTATTCTTCCCCTAGCTCTTTCCGCTGGCGGAGTAAATCGCTCGTCTTAGTGCGTGACCTAAGTATAACTATCACCGTATATGACGCTGTTGATCCTCTAAGCATTTTATTTATTGTTAAGGAATTGAAGGCTATATTATGCATTTTTGAGATGACAGCAGGGTTGACGGGAATGTACTGTATGCGATAGGAAAGTCAACTATGTCATTCTGTCGAAAAGACAAATAAGGCATTTGTAGTACTGATATTAGCGGATAGATAAACTATAAGTTGATAAGAAACTTGTACATAGAAAAACCTTTTTAGCGACAATTCAGAAAACTCAATGTTACGCTTCTTTTCCTGAATATACGCCCGTAAGCCACTATTGATCCGTTCCTTTTCCACTAGTTCCCGTTCTGCTTGGTAAAGCTTCTCTTCTATTTCTAAATGAAGAAGCGCGAACGAAATATGAGACGTGACATGAAGGAAAATGAATATAAGATGGAGAAGAAGAAATAGTGTCACTCACCTGGGTCCCTTTTGAGCAGCTGTGTTTCTTTTTCTTTGGCTTCATAGTATCTCTTAACTAAATTGAAAGGATTAAGTATTTGAATGACACTGTGCATCGCACTAAGAATGAAAAGACAGAAATGCATAGCTTAAAAAGAACTATAAGTCTCGACTGCCTACCATCAGTTATACATTCCATTGCAATGTCGAATACAGCTTTCTTCATCTCATCAGATATTGCATTATTGACAAGAATACGACGCGCATGTCCAAGAAACTGTAAGTGACTCTTAAGGAAGAAGTTTCTATGTGATATGTATTGCACGAAAATCGAAACTTAAAAGGATAAAGATCTCAGCGTTGATGAATCGCTGAAGGATGCGCCATGCACTCGACTTCATTAAGCATCGTTGGAGGTAATTGAATGCATATCTCGCCTTTACAATGACTCACGGTGGCCTACCGATGTACAGAGCCAGTGCTGCTATCCTCCTAGACGAGTCTGGTACTAACTTGCCGATTCCATAAGGATGGACGGTTTAGTGGCACTGGAGCGCGAGGATAGATCCTATGTGTATTGCAGGGCACCTCCGACCACTGCGCTACCCGCGCCCAAAAAGCGCTACCATCAAACAGTGAGTCGTGGAGAATAAAATGTATGCATAATCAAACCTAGAAGCAAGCAATTAACCCACCCAAAAAACACCAGTTAATTTTACATTTTACACTTTACAGCTGACAAGGAAAGAGAGCCGAAGCTTCGATCTGCGTCAACGATTAAAAATTGAAGATACATTCTACATGCCAAACTCGAAGATAAGGTGGGCCGGACACGTAACGCCTTTGAATGACAACCGATGGACAAGAGCAGTTAATGACTGGATTCCTCGGCATGTCAAACGTACTGCAGAAAGACTACCGACCCGATAGTCAGAGTTCTTTACGAAGACTCTAGAAGAAAGCTATGAAGCTCGACGAGTCCCTAGAGCGAGCAGAGTCACAATGGGTTTACAGGTGATACAGGTGACTAGCTCTGTATTCAGGCATGTATGCGTATTTTAGAAACAATCAAAACCAAAGTTCAAACATACCGGTGCAATATTGGCAATGTCTTCATTCTGTTCGTGTGGATCGATATAAACGAAAGGAAATTCCATCGGTTTCTAGAGCCTGAAACATTGTGTTCCTGATGTGAAAAACAGACATCACAAGAAGAGCCGGTGTAATATTAGACATTATGAAACGACTTTCTAGAATGAATTGAGAATGAGCATGCTACGATGTTCTGTCGAAGAGCAAATGTAAAAGAGCAGTGATTTATCAACTGTAGCACTACATACAAGATTAACAAATGTTCTCGACGCACCGTTTCTGATTTCATTAAGCAGGTCACAGGAAATCCATGCCAACAACCTAACCAGTAAATTTTCTATGAACATGTAAATTCATATATACATACATACTCTAAACACACTACGTGTTGTTAGGAGTGGCCGTTCGTGCCACCCGATACAAGTCACAAGCGCCATTCAGCTGGAAGAGAAGCAGTTCTGTAACGCTTGCAGGACTTCTACCATCGGTAAATCAGGGATGGTCATATGGAACAATGAGATTAATGGGTACAATAGCTTTCAGGACAGGTTCTAGTAGGTGTGAAGAGTGCCGGAAATTGTTAGTTCATTCTGATTGCTTTAAAGGGCCGAAAGATCGACTTTGTAGCAGAATTTGGAATTGTGACAAGGAATGAGGTCAGGTTTGTTGTCATATACGATTTATTAAATTATAGTACTACCTTACAACACTATGCTATACTTTTACGCACGTATACACTATTACACTAAACTAAATATTACTACACCAGTATTATGTTGCATCATATTATGTGATATTATCATATTAGATTCTCTATCCACTTAAAGAATGGTTCTTTGATGGTTTTGCGAGAGATCCTATCTTATTAACGAGTACTTATGAAATGGTTTGTTGGTATCATATGATTATAATAGCAATTTTTCGTTCCAACGGTCTACTGCCTTATCGTGGCTGGGAATTGTCCCTGGATGCAGGGCTGCAATGTGGTGCAACGAGACAGCTAGAGAATTCATTCCACCCGGCTGGTTCTCCCAAGCTGAGAAGAAGTCCGGCACTTCCGTCAGGCAGCTCGGCTAAGAGTAAACCAATACCTGGATCTACCACCGGCCTGCTCTCAAACTAGTCGCCCAGTGGTAAATCTCCTTCTGATCCATAAAGGCGGCGACTGGCTATGGTAGTGACGACCTGGGACGGACTTTCGTCAAGCTGACCTTGGGACACCAGGAACCACAAGGACTAAACCATCAAAACTCTGAAATAATAAACCTTCGAAAAGTATCATGAGAATGTGAACAGGATTAAGACTCTATCGTCAAAGTATCGTCTTACAAAACTTTGCAAAATAAGATCACAACGCTTACTTCCTACTTAATGCTTATTATTACTTAAAAATACAATGTTTTTAAAGACTGTTGACAGTAACTTTAATGATGCTGAGATATTTGCAAAACTTCGGATGACAGGTGTCTGCGGTGGGGAACGAACGCGCTATTGTCGTTTCCGTGGAGTAACGCGTTCACCACCACACCATGCGGGTTCTCTCAGCTAGTTCTATTGACCTTTTGCCATCAACAATCACCCGTCGGCGAGATTGATCTAGAGAGCCCAAATCCACAAAGAATAGTAAGTAAGAAGTTAAAGTTGTGATTATAACTACAGCCTCAGCTTAACTGGGTTCATTGAACTTTTAATAAGTTAAAACTGGTGGCAGTCGTAGGATGCTCTGACGCAGCTTAACTGCATTCGTTATATTCATCCAAGTAACGAATCGATTGATGTAAGAATTTTTACAAGAGACGTAAAGAACCTAAGTGCTGACTTGTTAACATTTCAGTAGTAAAATGAATCGATATCGGAGTCAGAAACTGCTTTCTTAAAGAGCAATTTCAAAATATCCACGTTATATGTACCTTTGCCGCTATACGAAAACCGACCTCGCGGACTGCACGCATTGTGCAAAGGCTGCAGGCAGCAGGAGCATAACGTCAACACACAAGAAACTGTAACATCGCTGATCTACACAGGACCCATAAGAATGACCCTTGACGGTTTTCGAATTCATACATTAAGCCAGTCACATAAAAGTTGTTGACAGCTATTTTACTACTGATAGACTCGGAAACGATGGAGCAGTACCTGGATTTTGGACTACATTTAGCACACAACACTAATTATAGGGATCTATCAAAGGAAATGTAGCATGAATACATCAAGGACAGTGCTATTTTTGTTCTCTTACATTTTTTGTTTAAAGGTATGCTAAAGAATGCTAAGATCTTCCTAAGGACTGGGGTACACTAAAGAATGCTATGATCTCCCTAAGGATTAGAATCGTGTACACGTCAGATCCATTGGAGAGTGCCGTAATTGCGCACTAATGAAAATGATTACAGTATACGCGATAATGAATCGTACTTTTAATTCATTCCTAAAATTCCCCTTTTGAACTTTTACTTCTGCCACTAGTAGAATACATAAATGTCTTCTCCAGAACATATTTTACCAATATTTTAGAACGTAGTTATTCATAAAACTACACTGTTTTGCCATTCCGCATAAATGACTTAGGAGGCTTTTAAACTCCTTTACTGCGAAAGCACAACTCTTCAAAAAAATACTTGTTATCTTTAATTAAGTAACGTAGCTAGCAATCAGGAATAGTTAAATTATGAAAACTATTGTTTCTAAGTCTTCTGTGTCTCCTGTTTCTTCAATGTATACACATTAATGACAAAATTCGCATTAACACTTATCACCGCACCCTGAAACATTTTTAAATTAGGTAAATCGAAGTGTAAACAAACAGAATTATATAATGTACAACACGGGCTTCTTCGGTTAAATTTGGTGTGTTGTAATTATTTTTATAGAGGATAGATAGCACAGTGGTAGTGATGCCAATTATCACGATCGCGATACTGGTTTCATCCCGCACCGGGTTCACCAAGCCTCTCATCTCTCCGTGGTTGGGAGATTGGCACCTGACTTGCGTGGGAAGTAAATAAACGGAATCATAACGATTAAAACAGAAATGAATAATAAGAAGACATATAATGAAGTAGTAAAGAAATAAATAAAATTTCCTTTGGAAAAAAATGGTTTGGAGGTTAAGTACAATGTAACCCATAGTTCTGCCCCGTCAATCGCGGAATTAATAGAATACTAATACACTTCATAAATACCGATTTAGATTCGACCGATGTTAAATGAATATCAGTTAGGCCAGTCTAACTAGTCAGAATCGAGGTTTTCAGTAAAATGTCTGGCTGATAACTTTAAACATATTCGCGACGAAGCTGGCCTTTTGATAACTGTTGACAATGTGGTCACTTGTGAAATATAGCTACAATGATGCTGAGATATTTGCAAAATTCTACAGGTGTTTGCGTTCGGGATCAAACACTCTACTACCCTTTCCGGGTGCTAGTGCGGTCAGTACCACACCAGGCAGGTTCTTCGTTTCGCCTTCCTTTCAGCTCTGCGGTCCGGAGTTTCGCAAATATCTCAGTATCATCGCAGTTATATTTCACACCATACTATTGATAATTTTCCTATAATTAGATCACTTCAGAACTGGAGGACTTGACAGAGATAGAGAGGAGTCTTTGCCTTATAACCTTAGAGGTTCATATAATTCTTATCAAATACTCTTTCCATTTCGAAAATATTCAGAGTTTAAATCTAGAAAAGTTGGAATCGAAGTTTAGATTCCCAATATTTCCAACGCAAGGGTGGTAGCCGAAAACTTGCGTGGGATATTCGAGCACTCTACTAGACGAATTTTCGCTTGTACAGCTGTTTTTGGTTCAAAATACGGCCACCAACAAAGTAAGTTAGAAAAATAGATATTTTCCAACTAAAGAAGTTCATTACAAAACGAGATGAGCATTGAAACCAATGCAAATCGTCACGAATGTGTTAATAAACGTCACTTTCAGAGCATAACAGAATGAAAGGTTGAGTGCACGGATGGATGAACGTTCTTCTCTGACCTTATTTGAGTTCTTTGCCGGAGCACTCCATAAGCTCATCAGTCTCTTCCTTTTTCCAATCCAACATATACCATTTCGTAGTGGATTATGAGCTCTGACGATCAATTTCACCTTCAGTTATGAAAGATTAAATATAAGGAAAAAGAGAGATTTCTTAAATTTACTCAACAAAGCATGGGAATTTCACAGACCCCCATTCCATTGCATGTACGAGTAACAGCACCCAATCCAAAAACTGCTTGAGATGTTTCTGGAAATGAACTAAATTTCCTTCGATTTGATTTTTGAGAATGGGAAAAATCATAGCACTGCTTAATGTTTAGCTTGAGCGTGTCGTTTTCCCTAGAAGACAGTACATCCAATGAAGAAGTTTTCTGGAAACGGTTTTCATCTTCGCGGTGCCATGTGGACGAAATGCAGCTGTTGGTAAAGTTCTGATGCAGCTGATGAGGTCGAACCTACAGCAATGGACGAGGAGGTCCAACCGAACTATTTGAAAGCGGACGTAGCTGATGGCAGTGATTCGGATTTTTTCGAGGAGAACATGAGCTTACTTCCTGGCTTAGCCAAATAGATCGATGAGGTCGTCGGTAAAGAAAATAAAGCGTTCATCGTTTATCAACCATCGAATGATGCTCCATGAATAGAACCCTAATCTACATCGTAGAAGTGATTGAATGCATATTTGGCACAATGCGTTAACCTTCGAAAGTCCACCGATGTATAATGTCAATTCTTCACAGACACATTCTATTACCGATTTACCGATCGCGGAGGCATGTGGCCTAATTAACCGTAGGCGCGGAATCGAACCAAGGAAAACATGTGCTTTACAGGACACCTGTAACTACTGCACTACATGCACCACAGTAAATCGGCATGGGACAAAAATCGGACTGGCTCCGAACATCAATAGCGCTATGTATTCAGTGTTTACCAATAAGTGTAAATAATAGCAAAATAAGAAGAAAAAAGTAAAAATGATAGAGAATTCATACTTGTGCCATCGCGATACATTCTGATCTTGGAAGTGGGTTGACTAAATATCAAATTTTTCGCCAACGGAGACATGT